TACATGGTAACTAATTCTAAATTTTAACCCTTTTTTTTTTTACTTCTAGATGGAGTAAATTGTGAGTACCCGACCATTTGCACATATCTCAACTAATTTTACGACACAACTAACCGACTTAACTACGTTTAATTGTCCAGAAAATCGATAAGATGTTAAGGATATAGGTAGGTAACCGTCGTAGCTTGAACTTATTCCTTAAGTTATTTAGAGTTTATGATGGATAGCTTTGATGACATTAGTCTAACTCGAGTAAAGGAGGAGTACATGAACGTACCAAAATCACATTTGGATGAGAGTGATCTTAAGGATAGGATGACTAAGAAAAACTTAAAAGAATTGAAAGTCACTACCTATGCCAGTAAGATGCACCTTCCATTTCGGTGGCTTAAGCATAGGAACTCCTAGTTAAACGTGTTTTGCTTGGAAGAATTTTATGCTAGGCAATCTCTTGGGAATTTTTCTAAGATACATGTGAGCAATGGTATCTATGCTGGAAGGATTCGTGTTGGCCGATGGGGATAATTTTTACTCTTAAAAAGCTAAGAGTAAGTAATATGACCATGTCGCAGAGAATATAGGGGAATGTCGGGTTACGGAGGTCGTTTGCTTTTTGTGATATTTTTGGGACTGTGAGTTCCCACATCGGTTGGAGAAGAGTACAAAGCATTCCTTATACAGGAGAATGTCGGGTTACGGAGGTCGTTTGATTTTTGGGATATTTTTGAGTTTGTGAGTTCCCACATCAGTTGGAGAAAAGAACAAAGCATTTTTTATATGGGTATGGAAACCTCTCCCTAGTAGACGTGTTTTAAAACCGTGAGGCTGATGGTAATACGTTACGGGCCAAAGCGAATGACTGATGGCGATACGTAACGGGTCAAAACAGACAATATCCACTAACGGTGAGCTGTGACCATCACATTCCTTTTCGGAGACAAAACTTGTACAATGGTTTGATTTTTGGGAGATGTTTGGGCGTCTTCAATTATTTAGTTTGGTTGGTTGTGAATTAAGTTAGAAATTGAAAGTTGGGGCATCTTTGCTCCCCCACACACACTGGCACCATTCCCAATATTTAAGGCCTCATCAATCTCTGTCTTTTCTTGGAATTGATATCTCCCCACTACTCTGAGGCATGCACTGCAGCTGCCCTTAATTTTCTATGGTCCTCTTTCTTTATCTCTCTGCCAAATCTTATTTATAGCACTCCAAAATTAATACATAGCCCATATGTTGGGTATCATACTGTTCAAACCCATCACGGGAAGATATTGTCTACTTTTACTCTTACGTATCGTCTTCAACTTCACAGTTTTAAAACGTGTTTGTTAGGGAGAGGTTTCTACACCCTTATAAAGAATGCTTTGTTCCTATCTCCAACCGATGTGGGATCTCACAATCCACCATTTGGGGGCCAGTATCCTCGCTGGCACATAGTCTAGTGTCTGACTCTAATGCTATCTGTAACAATACAAGCCCACCATTAGGAGATAATGTCTATTTTGGTCCGTTATATATCGCCGTCAGCCTCACGGATTTAAAATGCATCCGCTAGGGAGAGGTTTCCACACCTTTATAAAGAATGTTAGTTCCCCTCTCCAACTGTGGCATCTCACAATCCACCTCCTTGAAGTTCAGGGTCCTTGCTGACACATCGCTCGATGTCTGCCTTTGGTACCATTTGTAACAGCCCAAGACTACCTATAGTACATATTGTTCGTTTTAGCTCGTTACGTATTTCCGTCAGCCTCATAATTTTAAAACACATTTGTTAGGGAGAAATTTACATACCTTTACATGTACCATCACAGTCACTTTATGCTCTGTTTTCATTTCTTGTGATACTGTTTTGGGCATCTGGGTTATTAAGAATCAATGAGTTAATATGTTGGCATAGCTTATTTTATTCGTTTTATGGATTTGCAGGAGGCCCCTCCAGTTCTCTGTCACCTCTGCCATGGTCTGCAAGGTTAAAAATTGCCCAAGGAGCTGCAAGGGGTTTGGCATATATTCATGAATTCGGTGCTCGGAAGTACGTACATGGAAACGTAAAATCGACGAAGATTCTTCTCGACGACGATCTTGAGCCTTACGTTTCAGGTTTCGGACTCGCTCGTCTCAGCCAAGGAACATCCAAAAAGTTGAGCTCAAGCCAGAATATGATCACCACCTCAATCATGGGGCCAAGCATGACAACTCCCTCAGCAATGTACTTAGCGCCCGAGGTTCGTGAGTTTGGAGGGAAGTACACTCAGAAATGCGACGTCTATTCATTTGGTATTGTCCTTCTTGAGCTTTTGAGCGGTCGATTACCTAATGCAGGCTCGGAGACCGATGGGGGGAAGGGGTTGGAATGTTTTGTGAGGAAGACATTTCAAGAAGAGCGCCCCTTGACCGAGATTATAGACCCGGCACTCGTGCCGGAGATTTATGCCAAGAAACAAGTGGTTTCGACATTTCACATTGCGCTGAATTGCACAGAGCTTGATCCCGAGCTTCGTCCTCGAATGCGATCGGTTTCAGAGAGTCTCGATCGAATCAAATCTCAATGAAGAGATCTGGGTGTTGTTAGGTTGATTTCAGAGGCGTAGCTGTGAAATTATTTCAATTGCTCTTTCACTGGAACAGTCAAAGAGTTGTGCCATTTAAGAAATGAAAGTTCCTCTTTTAACTTTTTTAACTGTCCATAATCATTTTGAAATTCCACGTCCATAGGGAGAACAAAACATTTCTTGTAACGGCATGAAAACTTCTTACCAACAGAAGTCTTCAAACCTCGAAGGAAAGTCCTTTTTAGAAACCCTCGTCCAAATGAGTATCTTACGGAGAGTTGACAAGAAATTCTATTAATAATGAGCTATTTTGATTCTTTGGAACAACGGGATGAATTTAGCCCTCCTTTTTGGAACAAATGACTATCGATAAAATTTATCTTATTTATATGGTGAGATGGTTGGTTGTTTAGGGATGCACGGATACCGCTCATCCAACCATAAACCTAACTTAATTACAGAGATATGATATGACAAAAAGTCTAGAGAGGATAATATGGACCGATTAAAATGGATTATTTAAATTCAAATGAATTGGGTTATAGGATTTTTTGAATCTTGTGCATACTCCTTTGTGAAAGCCCTCCAATTTCTTCACTTCCTTGGCGACAACCCAACACGATGCCACCGCCGACACTGATGCCGAGACTCACTGACCAAGTGATGCCCATCCGGCATCTCCTTTACATCTCTCTCTGTCGTTCATATGTAGCCACCGACTACCGCTGATCGATGCCGATATAGCCACCCCCGCACGCAAACGCCGACACCCATGATCCCAAAGGACATTCCAGTGTGAGGTTAGTTCGTTTTCAAACTAGAATTCGTAATGTTGTTGTGTTTCGAATGGGATCTTCAATTTTATCGGTCTCGTTTCAGATTATTCATAGCTTATAAGATCCAAAGGCAAGCTTGAGTTAGAAACCCTATGGTTAATCGTAGGTTTGGGAAAATATTTGTTCTAGGAGTTAATGATTCCTTTGTTTGGATTAGAAGTCAAATAAATGGTTCTATTACTAGAACCATTCAAAGCTAGGTTTCATGCTTTCCTTGTTGCTACAGAAATTTTGTATGATTGTTTGCACTGATTGGTCTGAGTTCTTCTAAAACTCCTCGAATAGGTTCTATGAGTACCATCAAAATTAGATTGAACATCGAAGTAAAGCAGATCAAACTGGTTCGATTGGACTAGACCGACTATTTCCCTCGCTGCTACCTCTCAATATAGACTTCCATGACTTGCAACTTCTTCGTATATCTATTTGAGACAAAGACGTTGAGCCAAAAATGAGTGAGAACCATGGAGAGGTACATGAATGAATCGAAACTCATCTGATTGAGAGTAATTATGAGGATATGATGGTCAACAAATGCTTAATCATAAGAACTCCAACGTTACGGATTTTTAGCTGGAAATAGTTTTATATTGGGTGACTTCCTAAAAAAGTTGTGTGAGGACAAAGCGGTTGTAAGTCTATAGGGATGTTTTCACTTATAGGGATGTTTTCACTTTTAGAAGTATTTCAAGAAAAGTAGATAATGTGGTCATATCAGAGTTTGGGCATCAGATGTTACAACAATATGCTTGTTTGAATCTTGGGTATAGTCAAAAGCATGCTAAAAATGTTAGGAATCACGAACCGCCTTGAGGGCTTTACCTACGATCCTCCCCTCGAACAAATTACACCATAGAGCCTCCCTTGAGGTCTTCTTCTCTAGAGCTCTCGAATAGCCTCCCTTAATCAAGACTCAATTCCTTCCTTGGAGCCCTTGAATAAAGTTCTACCCTTTGTTTGACACCTGAGTCACCTTTGACTACATCTCCAAGGCAGCTTCCCTTGAGGCCTATGGAGCCCCAAGTAGTCTCCCCTTAATCGAGACTCGATTTCTTCTTTAGAGTCCTCGAACAAAGTACACCATTTGTTTGACACTTGAGTTACTTTAGACTACACTTTCAAGTCCTACAATCCTTTGCTCAACATTTCAAGATTCTATTGACACAGATACCATGTTAGGAATTACAAATCTCCACAATGGTATGATATTGTCCACTTTGAGCATAAGCTCTCGTGGCTTTGCTTTTGATTTTCCCGAAAGGCCTCGTACCAATAGAAATGTATTCCTACTATAAACCCATGATTAACCCCTTAATCAGCGGGCGTGGACGTGGATTTCAATTGCCTTATCAAATTGTGCCTTTGTCATATGTGTTGCAACTTTCAATTGTTGTCTATTCTTTGTCCTCATCGAAGCCACCAATCATCACAATAATGCATATTGCACTCACACGTTTTGACCATAATGAAACATCTTTAATATTCTCCAACTTTAGGAAGAGCTAGAATTTGTATACCAATCAGTACATTAAATACTTAATAGAAACCTTTAATATTCTCCAACTTTAGGAAGAGCTAGAATTTGTATACCAATCAGTACATTAAATACTTAATAGAAACCTTGCACAACACTTTTATTAATAGAAACTTGAAATTTCCACAGGACAATGAGAAGTGTATCATCACTTGCAGCTCTCAAGTGGTGCGCCACACAAACACTTATTATGAAAATATGAATAAACATCAAATCTCTGCAACTCTCCACCCTTTGGAATCTGACCACAAAGCCTATTGTAACTCACATTGAACGAGTTAAGATTACTGAGCTTCGTCATCTGCGGCGGCAAACCCCCATAGATCTTATTATGGTTAAGATCCAACATAAACAGGCTAGTTGAAAACACAACCTTCGACATGTCAAACTCCAACAAATTCCTCGACAAATCAACTTTCCAGGTGTGCCTGTTGTTAAAGATATTTAGTCATGAATTATAGTTTATCATGCATGTATTATATTTGACATTTAATTATAGGCAAATATCTCGATATGATATTTCTGTTTATTATAGTTAAAGTATCAATTTATTTAATGATTATAAATACGGGGTGGTTTTAGCATATATTCTTACCTGTGCACGCCGAATATCATGGAGGCATCGCCTTCAAGCTTGTTTCTTGACAAATCGACAGATTCGAAGTCCACTCTAGAGAGGGAAGGTGGGATTTTGCCGGAAAGTTTGTTGTGGGAAAGATAAAGGTAGAAACCTTTAGCCTTAAAGTCCCCGAAAGAATATGGGATTTGTCCTGTCAGTTTGCTACGGTCCAATTGAAGAAATTTGAGATTTGGGAGCTTGGAGAGGGAGCTCGGGATGGCTCCGGAGAGATTGCTGAAGGAGAGGCGAATGTATGTGAGCTTGGTGAGGGAGCTGAGGAAGTCCGGGATGGTGCCGGAGATATTGGTCCAGCTGATGTCGAGGTGTTTAAGGTTGTGGAGTTTAGCAAGGGCGGGTTGGATGGGGCCGACAAGATTTGGGAGCTTGTGTAACATGAGGGATTGGAGGAATGGGAGGTCGCCGACGTACGGCGGGATTTGGCCGGAGATTTCATTGTCGGTAGAGATGTCGAGGGAGATAATCCGGTGGGAATTCTCATCACATTCGACGCTATACCAAGTACAGCAATCTTCTTCGGGCTTCCATGAGGCGAAGTAGTAAGCGTTGTTGAATGCTTTCTTGATGTTTAGGAGAGCTTTCTTGTCGTTTGGATTGCAGAGTTCTGCAAATGAAATGGTGAAGAAGAGGAAGAAGAAGAGGAGAGGAAGAGGAGATTTGAGGGTGAGAACAAGCATGGTTGATGATAAGGACTTAGATGAAATTGTTGAATTATGAAGTGGGGGAGTTATGGATTTATATAACTAAGTTTGACCGACAATGGATATCAATTATGAAATGGGTGTATGGAAGTTACCATTTTGCCCCTCCAAAGTAAGAGCACGTTTTATTTATGCTTATTTTCTTTTCTTTTTTAGAAACCTAGCCTTCCACCTTCTTTGATATAATGGTATTTGGAAAATTACCATTTTGCCCTCCAAAATAAGGAGCATATTTTTTTTTTTTTTTTTTTTTTAAATGATGAAAAGAGAAGTTGGGGATGTAATCATGAATTGGGAAGTGGTGGAGGGAAATTAAAGGTCGGTGAAGTGTGTATGGAAGAAAGGAAAGAAAGGGTTGAGAAAAAGACTTGAGAAGAGGTGGCTCACATGGGAGTACAAATGCAAGAAGGAATATGGAAGAGTTAAGAGTGGAGCAAAAATGGAAAGGAAAAGAAAAGGGGTAGATAAAGCCATTCGAGAGATTTCTCTAGAAAGATTGATCCGAATTAGGGCAAGAAGCTAAATTAGTCGGGACGGTCATAATGAGAGGTTTTTGAAATACCTATATGAAAAGAAAAGGAGATCGTGGGCCTCCGGGGTGCTATAACGATCTGGATAGTTGATATAAGATTCACTATCAAAATTATTTGGGGGTGCTATGGTGGTAGCACGTGACACAAAATATGGAACCGTATGTACTATTGTGGGGTGTATAAAGATGATTGTTGTTGTTGAGAATGCTTCAAATTCAAGTTTATGGCATAACATACTTGGACGTATGAGCATCAAAGGAATGAAGAAGTTGGTTGTGGGAGAATTTTTAGAAGGTCTGAAATTTGTTGATATGGGTTCTTGTGAGAGTTGCGTTATGGGCAAGCAGAAATGAGTTAGCTTCACAAAGGCTGCTAGAGAACTGAAGAAAGTGCGATTGGAAATGGTTCATACAGACATTTAGGGACCATCTCTAGTTCCATCACTTGGTGGATTAAAGTTCTCCGTCACCTTCATCGATGATTTCAGTAGGAAGGTGTGAATTTATCTCTTGAAATATAAATCAGATGTGTTTGCCACCTTCAAGAAGTGGAAAGCTGAACTTGAAAATTAAATGAAGATGTTAATGGTCATTTGAGAATGAAATTCTTGGTTAGAAAATTGAGGTTGTGCAAAACCTTAATTATTAGGTTATGGAGCATGCTACTTATTTATTACTCAATGATTGTACATGGTAAAGCTACATCAGTTAAATTGACATATAAAATAAATGGTCATAAATAGTAAATAGTTATGTATAGTTAAAAATCATATCTTGTAAAGTTATATATGGTAGATGATGAACCGTATATATACTCCACTACTCAGTGCTTTGAAAATGTACTTTTTGCATTCTCTGTATTCCTTATTGTATATACTTGAAGTTTTCAATATAAATTACGCTTAACTATGGAGTTCCTATGTGTAACGACTCAGGCCCACCGTTAGCCGATATTGTTTTCTTTGGACTTTCTCTTTTGGGCTTCCTTTCAAGATTTTTAAGACTCTCCCTTTTGGGCTTTCTTTCAAGATTTTTAAAACGCGTCTACTAGAGAAAGGTTTCCACACCTTTATAAAGGGTGTTTCGTTCTCCTCCCCAATCAATGTGGGATATCACACTATGATTGAACCACCAAAAAAAGAAGCTGCACCTTGTTGGTATAGGTAGTAAAGATAGTAACTTTCATTTCTTTTGAACATTTCTTAGTCATCCTACTCTCAGGACCGCTTTCATTCGAGTGTGGTCTCGGTTCATTCACGTACCTTACCTTTACTTAGATGTCACATGCTTACGAGCTTCCGCCTTAGTTTGTCTTCCAACTATATCTTACTAGGAGAACTACTACTATGATACCATTTGTAACGTTCCATGCGCAGGATTCACATCAAGATTTAAATCCAAATTTGGAACTTAATGGACTTGACATTCTTCGACATCATCTGACTCACTCACATGCATTTCAGAAAAATTCCTTCATATCAAGATTTGAAATCCAAATTTGGAACTTAATGGACTTGACATTCTTCGACATCATCTGACTCACTCACATGCGTTTCAGAAAAATTCCTATAAGGTTACTGGTATAAGTAGTGACTTTCAATTCTTGTAAACCTTTCTTAGCTATTCTATCCTTATGATCCATTTTATTCAAATTTAGCCTTAGGTCATTTATGTACCTCTCCTTTACTCGGGTGTCACATAAAAAAAAAATGATGGTTCAGCCCTACCCCACTCCCCACTCGTTCATATTGGATCCAAGAGCAACTATCGTTATCCTTCAAGTACATAAAAGGGGGTTTTCGTTGCCCTGTGAAGCTGGCTCAAGCCATGCCCTCCTCTTTAGCAGCAATGAAATCATGGGCCTCCTCCCAAACCCCCCACAACTTATCTACTTGCTGTAAATGTGCTAGCCCACTTGGATTCGATCGAGCAAGAATGGCTCTTGAACCATCACATTAATGCCCCAACTTGGGTCACAAGCTCAGAGGGAAAGTTACTAATACATTAGAGTACATGAATGAACCAAGACACATTCGTTTGTGAGCGTCTTGGTAGGATGACTAAGAAAGACATAAAGGAAAGAAAGTTGTTACCTATATCAACAAGATGCACCTTTCTTTTCGCTAGCTCAATCATAGGAACTTCATGGTTAATTATGCCTTAGATGGAGCAATTGTACGTTGGGTGATCTCCTAAGAATTTTCTAGGCATACATGAGAATGAGAACAAAATATGTTCAAAAGACTCGTATTGGTCTGTAGGGATAGTTTTCACTCTTAGAAGCGAGAAGTAAGTAAAGTGACCATGTCGTAGTGGATGCAAGGGAATATCGAGGCCATTAGGTGTCGAATCCAAATTACAAATCTTGATTCTAATCTTCGGCATGGGACGTTACATTAGTAGTATTTAGTATATCAATGGTATATCAAACACCAATTAATATTCATTTCAAACGGAACATGAATGTACTATTTTTAATCGTGTGTCTATTTATATCTGGTTCAATACCTGTAGAGATGATAGATCAAACATGTAGTCTTTTGGTCTAAAATATATGTTTAAATCAATCAAATAATTTTTTAAAAGAAAATTCTTGAAAAAAATCAATTGTTTTGTAAGAGAAATTTGATAATTTAAATGCATTGAATATGACTTCTTGAATTATTTCTTGTTTTTTTTTATTTTTAACTTTTGGCATAAAAATAATGCAAGGCTGGATGATGTACGGCAGTCGCACAAAGCTGCAAGAGCAGTTAAAATCATTGTCTGCTTTATCAGCACTACTTTATTTGTTCATTTTTTTGCTAAATGTTCCATCACTTTCATCCCAATATAGCAAATTTAAATTAGAGTAGCATGTGTTATACATGCCTATTTGGAAGATTTTGTTCATACAACAAATGTGAGGTCACTAGGAGGATTATGCACTCTACTAACATGCCTTTATTCTTGAAGAGTTTTATAAGCGACGAGATTTACAGATCATAATGGTAAAGATTGTAGGTTGGAACTCTCAAAGATTAAGTTCAAGTTTATGGACTTCCAAGTGCGCAATAAATACATTATGCCACTTATGAGTCACGTGTAAAAGAAAGTTTTTAGTGAAAGATTGTCCAAGAGATGACAGATTTACTATGGACCTCAGAGGAGATATCCAAACTCAGTAGCAAGTGATTATTAAGAATATTTGAATACGCTCTGAGTTGTCATCAAGATTGGACAAACATGTTCACAAAGTTACAGCTATGAAACTTTTATGGTAGGCCAATGAACATTGAGAAAAGGACTACAACAATAGGGTCGAGTTATGGCCTACTTTAGCACTAATAGAAGAAAGGATGGACCCAGACATTATATGGATATAGAAACCTATTTTTGTAGGGATTGCTCGATTTAAGTATTGATGAGATTAGGTTACATACATTCACAAAACCTATTTTTATCTATGGATTATTTGTGAAGCATGCACAAACAGAGGTAGAGCATCGAGATATCATGGTTACAAGATCTACCTCAGTAGTAGCAGTGTTAATGGCTAACAAATAGATTAAGACCACCAGGTAGTGTAGATGTTTCGTAGGAGATGAAAAAGATTGCTAGGGTCATGAGTTGCCAAATTTGGATTTCAAATCCAGAGCGTTAAGCATTACACTTACCTAAAGTTAGCCATCACATCAGAGTTTATAGAGTTCACTAGGACCCTATACAGAAACCCGAGTGACTAATGTTATCAGATGAGTCAACGATGAGATATCACTACCAAAGGAGACCCGATTAACCTAATCATGAGATACTATAAGAGCTCGTCTAGGTAAACACCATAAGACTCATGAAACGATTAACGAAAACGACCCATTTGAAGTTAGAGCATGAAACCCTTAATAGGAAGCTTACACAACACTTTTATTAATAGAAACTTGAAATCCACACGACAATGAGAAATGGATCATCACTTGCAGCTCTCAAGTGGTTTACCACACAAACACTTATTATGAAAATACGAATCAACACCAAATCTCTTCAACTTTTTACCCTTCGGAATCTGACCACAAAGCCTATTGTAACTCACATTCAAAGAAGTGAGACTAAGTTTCGACATCTGCGGCGGCAAGCCCCCAAAGATCTTATTATGGTTAACATCCAACATAAATAAGTTCGTTGAGAAGACAACCTTGGACATGTCAAACGCCAACAAATTCCTCGACAAATCAACATTCCAAGCCTTCTTGTGTGCTCCAAATATCATGTAGGCGTCGCCTTCAAGTTTGTTCCTTGACAAATCAATGGCGCTGAAGTCCACTTTGGAGAGGGAAGGTGGGATTTTGCCGGTAAGTTTGTTGTGGGAAAGATAAAGGTTGAAATTTTCAGCCTTGAAGTCCCCGAAAGAATCTGGGATTTGTCCTGTCAGTTTGCTCCGGTCCAATTGGAGATAGGAGAGATTTGGGAGCTTGGAGAGTGAGCTCGGGATGGCGC